TGAGTTAATCGCCAATAAAGTTTTTTTTTCAAAATGTGTAAATTTCACCTTTACAACTTGATATTAGTCATTTTCTGGATTTTTTATTTATTGCAAATTGGATTTTTAATTTTTTCAAACTGTTTTGATGTTATTGAAACTAAAACTGGTAGAAAGTTCCTTTGCATGATAGTTTGAAGCCTTTGCCAGTTGAAAATGCACAAAAGTCTAAATTTGGTATATGAAAAGTGATTTAGAGTTAATATAGTATGTACAAAAGAGCAAATTATCTAAAATTCAAGACTGCTTGTACATACAATTAATGATATGTATTGTTCATTTTATAATTAACATTCTTTATTACTTTAGTAGTTAATACACAACTGAATTGTAAATATTATAATCAGGAAAACTTCCACATCTTCACTTGAAGCTTTCTGTTAGTTTTCAAATTGAGCTTTTTTCAAATTTAGATACATTTATAGTTAGATTATAAAATTTTTACTGATCCATATAAAAAGAATTGTTCATTTATTTTGTCAATTAAAGCTAATCCTACTTTATTTTTTATGATAGAAATAACTTACCCGTCGCACATTGCTGCGATCTCAGAAGAAACGAAATTCAAGCAAACTCGTTATGATAAAATTAAATTTACATTTTATCATTTTTATTGAAACTTATTATTATTATTATTCATTTTCATCGGGAAAACATTTAAGTCGTTTCAATTCTATTTATTTATTGGAGTGCTTGTGGATACACGATATTTTTTGTTTTTCCGTCTGGTGCATACACGAATAAATCAGACGGTTTTCCGACGCGTGAGCTGGCCACATACAGTTGTCCATGTGAGAAGCACAGATTCTTTAAATTTAGCCCACATACTCGCAGAGATTGTCAGAAGTGTGATATTCCCCATTTTTATATATTTTTTTTAATCCTTTATAATTTTGATTATTTAATTGCTACTTCCTCTCTTCCTTGGCATGTTGTGAAATTTTTGATAGTTGGATAATAAACTGTTTTATTGTAATTTGTCTTTTTAAATTATTTTGAGTTGATATTAAAATTTGGAAAAGGGGGATCCCTAGATTGGTAAAATAGGTGAATTTCCTCCTACAACTTCGGTTGTTGTTTGGGATACAGTTAAGGTTTTAACAAAGTTCGAGCAAATACATAATTAGCAAAAAATAGTTGAAATAAAGTGATTAAACAAAAATTATTACAAATATCGTAAATAACAGTTCACAAATGCATATATAGAGATATTTTTTGGAGGG